GGTAGTAACCCATAAGTGCTCCGTTCTTTCTTCTAACTCAAGTATAAGTCTGAAGAAGCTCAGCGCAGTGCACAGGCTCTGTAGCACCGGTGTGGATCCTGAAATACTTTGGGTAGACTCCAAATGTTTTAGAGCGTGTGACTGTGTGTATGAGTGTGTGTGTATATATGTATGTATGTGTGTATGTATGTGTTTGTGCGTGTTCGTATGTATATGGATGTATGTGTGTATTGGGTGCCTGTGTGTGTGTGTGTGTAAGTGAGTGAATGGGTTTGCGTGTGTATGTGGGTGTGTTTTTTCGCGTGCGAGCGTGCGCACATATTTTACCACCCATGATTTTGTATTTGACTAATATTGATAATATGCATATTATTACATGAACATGACATGCTTTACTGATGAGATAAACTGCTGTGTGAAAGATGGGAGTTTGGAAGGGCCAAATGTAAGGCAGGCCTGCGTGCCTAATTTGTAACCCCTTGAAAAAAAAGTTCGTTCGTTGGTTCTCTCTCTCTCTCTCTCTCTCTCTTGCACTTTACTAATTCATTCATAAACTTTACACTGACTCAGTTTTCCCTCCATTAATGTCCACGTAAAATTGCAGCAATGAGCGTTCTAAAGCCAAGAAACAACATACAATTCACGCAAAAGTAAACAGCCCGCTAGAATCTGTTTGCCAACACTGCATCCTGTTTATGAAACACCGGGCCAGCTATGAAAACATGGAAATTTCCATCTGCTGTGGCCCGCCAATTTGTTAAACAGGGAATCAGGTAGTGTGATGTGAACGCGCACTTATCGCCATGTATCTGTTGCCCCAATGCGTAACTCGTTGTTATGACCTAGATCTTGCGGCAGTTTAACCTGTTGTTGCTGTGACCGCAGTGTTTGGGGGTCCTGCAGGGCAGGCCACCGTGAAATGAAAGATGATGTTTGGTGGGTGTGAGTTAGGGTAGTTGTGTGTGCGATTATAAGGAAATATGTGCCTTGTTTGTGTGAGAGTGTGGGCGAATGGGAACAACTAAAGATAGACAAAGAGGCAAAGTAGGTCACAGGGACAACTGGACGGGACAAGTCAAGTTACACACACACACATACACACACACATACACACAAACACATACATACACACACCACACACAGAAAGACATTTATACATACATACATACATACATACATACATACATACATACATACATACATACATACATACATACATACATACATACATACATACAAACATCCATCCATCCATCTATCCATCCATCCATCCATCCATCCATCCATCCATCCATCCATCCATCCATCCATCCATCCATCCATCCATCCATCCATCCATCCATCCATCCATCCATCCATCCATCCATCCATCCATCCATCCATCCATCCATCCATACATACATACATACATACATACATACATACATACATACATACATACATACATACATACATACATACATACATACATACATACATACATACATACATACATACATACATACATACATGCATGCATGCATGCATGCATGCATGCATGCATGCATACATACATACATACATACATACATACATACATACATACATACATACATACATACATACATACATACATACCTATCTACCTACATACATACATACATACATACTTACACACATTCACTAGATTCAGTGACACACACCCACACACACAGTCACACACTCACCACTCACCCGCAATACACTTTCATCTGCTCAAACTCTGCGGGTGCCAAATATCGCACCATGCGTTGATCATTAAGTGAACTCCCTACACTGGACAAGTCAAACAGAGGCTTCCCTGAGGACCACGTGGATCCAGTCGTATCGCCATAAGTCCCATACATGACAACTCGTTTAATAAAAATTGTTGCAGAAGGTTTCCTTTGTTCGGACCGCAGGTGTGCTTACACAGGGCCGCATGCAACGTTAGTCTGACATGCCTGTCGAACAAGATATGGTTTTCCTAATGTTTTGTGCCGGTAGTTCCTAAGTGGTGGTCTGTAACTGATGCTTCAACCGACAATCAACTTCATCTCTGCTGACTACAGTTTGTATTGGCACATCTGATGGCTGCTGCGGTCTTTTCAAGTCGGAATACTAACCAAGATGGCTTAAGTCAAGGCTAAGCAACTGCGAGGCAAGAAGAAGGAAGAGCTTCTGAAGCAACTCGATGATTTGAAAAAAGGAGTTGCAAATCTTGCGTGTGGCTTAAGTGACAGGGGGCGCTGCAGCCAAGCTGGGCAAGATCTACACTGTACGCAAGTCTGTTGCCCGCGTGCTCACAGTCATCAAACAGACACAGAAAGACAACTTGTACAAATGTTACCGGAAGAAGACCCACAAGCTCAAGGATCTCCACCAGAAGAAGACCAGGGCCCTGCGTCGGGCTCTCACACCGTACGAGTTGTCCCTGAAGAGCAAGAAGGAGCTGAGACAACAGAAACTTTACCCTCTAAGGAAATATGCTGTCAAAGAATAA